CCCCCTCCCCCCTCCCCTGGGGGTCCTGTGGGTCTGTCCCCGTGAACCCGGCCTCTGGTCCCATCTCCTCCCCCAGCGCCACTGGCAGCGCCAAGTCACCTTCACTCCCCAAGGTCACAGCCAGGGCTGCGGAAGAAACTACATCACCCAGAAGGCACTGCGCCCGCTTCAGCAGAGGTAGGCGCCTTTGGGTTCCTACAGTTTCCGTTAGGGCGGGACTTCCGGTACCGTCTTCTTGGCGGACGTTGTGGCTTCCGGTAACGGACCTGCGGGGTTCGTCGCGCGGGTGAGCGTTCCCTCAGCCCTTTAGTTCCCACCGGTTCCTGCGGGGGCAGAGCCGCTGAGGGGACGGGGCTGTGGGGCACCTGTCAGGACCTCACTCTCTGGTGGCCTCTGAGGTCGTGGTGCCCGTGGGGCCGTCGGCCCCTCTCCGTGCCCTGGGCTCCGGGGACACTCAGCCCAGAGTCCTAAGTCCAGGTCAAGGGTCAGATGAGTGGCAGCTGATCTTGGCAGCCAGTGGAATTATGAGTGACAGGTCCTTCCGCGCATGGGCTCCAGAATGTGCAAGGGCTTGGAGTGAAGACTAAGCTGATTCAGGGACAAGCAGGGGTCCATTTTGTGAAAATAGGCACTGGATACAGTGGGACAGGAACCAAGTGCAGAGGAGCTTTGTGACCACTTGGGTTTCTGTTCTGCTGGTGATGGGGTCATTGGGGTAACTGGTCAGTAGAGCAGGTGAGCTGTCCCAGGTCTCATTAGACTCCCTGTGGCTGCAGCCTGATGCACAGGATGGGTGTGAGGACGGAGGTAGGAAGCCCAGGACGGAGGCTGCTGTGATAGTGCTGGTGAGTGTGAGGGTACCTGGAGCACAGTGGTGGTTGTGGGTGTGGAAGACGCAGTTGCATATGGATCAGGGTTGTAGCTGTGGCCACCTGGATTGGAGAGAGAGAGAAGAATCAGAAATGATGTGAAGGTTTGGATTTAGCAGCTGGTGGTATGGAAGCACCATCAACTGAGGAGAAATTCATAGTGGGAATAGTAATGTCCATGAGGAATATAAAATCTCTTATGTTTTCCTGTTAAGTTATGAGGTATTTCAGAGACCATTCAATGACCATCTGGAACTCTGACAAGGATTTCAAGATGAAAACTACTTAAAAAAAAATAGTAGAGTATGGTCCAGAGAGGATTTCTGGATCAGTGCTGTTTTTATTATTGGAGGTAGAAGAGTAATTCAAAGAAGGTGAGACTGTGGTTGGTGCATATTTACTTTTTAAACACTCACCAGGATTTCTTGTGACCCTTTGTGTAGCCTGGTGTGTTGCATCCGGTTTGATTGATTTGCCTATGGACATGAGTGGGCATCTGTGAGACTCACTCGGCAAGAGGTAGAGGACCATAGGCTGTGAGTGTAGAAGGGACATCAAGTGCAGCAGCTGTAGAGGTGGGCTCTGGATAACTGAGATCTAATGTGGTTCTCAGTAGGTGAGGTTGAAGGAAAAAGCAAGTTGGGAGGGAGGCCTTCATAGCAGAACTGAAGGCTGTGTCTTGGCTGTGGGCAGTCAGAGTCAGGTTAGTACTTGATGCTGGTTGAACTTGCCATGCAGTCTCTGGAACACACATGCTGAGTAATGACTAAGACCAAGGAGATGTCTGTGGGAGCTGAGGCCATAGCACTGAAGGTGTGAGAGAGGGGTGGGAGAAGGAGTGATGGCCCTTGGAGAGGGAGTGTGAATTCCTGGCCACACATCCTTGGTGTTGACATAGAAGGAATGAAGGTTGAGTCCATTTCTGGTGATAACTGGATGACACTTCATGGGGAATTCTGGGGAATTCCTGAAAAGATGGGTGTTGTGGCGCTTCATGCCAGCTGCAGAATTTAGGTGTCATATAGGTGCACACCTGCCTCTTATTGTTTGGCGGGTACAGTGATCAATGGGAATGGGATAGCAGACATCGGTGTCACCTGGGCTTGAAAATCTCCGCTGGCTTGGGGATGGGAGAAGGATAAGAGAGAAATACATACAGAGGAGGTGAGTTAGAATGTTGAAAAGAAGGTGATTAGATATCCCTTCCTCTTTATGGCATACATGTGTTGTCTTTGAAGTTGTGACTCTGGGAATGAATCTATATGAGAGAGGTGGGATAGAAAGAATTATGTGGAACAGGTAGGGCAAAGTGTTGGCCTCAGCACCCTAGGACTGGAATCGAAAGGGTGACGAGTGATGCCATGCTTTTCAGGGTCTTGGAGGGAGAATGTGTGGGACCACAAGGATATTGCCCCAGTACTGTGGTTG